ATTTAAGTTTGATTGTTCAGAAGAAAAACCGACTTGCATCTATGGACCTGATGGTCTCAGTATATTTGTAAATGTTCATGTAAGGAAGTTGTTTGTCTTATGTTTCATCATAAATTTATCATAATTTTATCATAATTTCATTATGGAAGAAGGGTACAATATTGTGACTGGGGTAGGGACTAGAGTCAACAATTTGAACATGATTCATTATTTAGCCATGTCTTTAGCCATCGATCTGCTGGCGGGCAAGTTAATTATGAAATTCTTTAAGAAAAACAGAGGGTTATGCTGGGTATAAGAGACGATGTGAATTACTTTTGTAAAATTCCGAGTCTGTAGTAAAAAGGGGCGATTGAGGGTACCCAATCCTTTCCCGGGTGTATGAACATGTCCGTGCAGAAATGCCATATCCATTGATTTTGCCCCTTCTTTACTTTATGTCTAACTACACCCATCTGCATTGTCCTGAAAATAAATAAATGGAATAACAGCTTAGACCCCAATGGCAAATCATGCATTTTAACTGCATTATTTAAAAACTGTTAAAGTTTGTTGCAATTCTTCCCCCTAACTTGCATACAAATTATTACGAATACGAATGACAGGTGTTAATTTGAATGATAAAAATTACGCTTCGACAAGTGAATATTAATTTGAATGCTAGTTGAGCAGTTTTTAAATTGAATGACAGATCTACGAAACCCTTCGACCAAAATCCTAAATTAAATACAAAAAATAGAAAATTGAATGATAATTGGCATAGCAAAGCCGATCTGCGCTAACTTAAATGCAAAGTAAATGAATTCGAATGACAAACGCGCGAATTTGGCCGGGAAATCCTATATATAAGCTTTTCAATAATAGGCCCGTTACCATGAATAGGCGTCAATGACCATATAAGGCCAAGGCTCATGCATCGTACGCTATACCCGTGCGTGCCGTGTACAAAGGTTTTAAATGAGATAACAATTCGACGTACTCCTAAATAAAAATAAACATCTCTGTTGCATCAAAATAAAATTATACGTTCATTGTACGTTATTGACAGAAGTTATATACATCGGACATTATACTTTAGTACAAAAGGGTTATCTATAGAAGAAGGTGGACAACATCATAAGATAAAAAATAACGATTTCTCGTTTATTTATACAAAAATTAACAGCATAAATACCCCTACAAAAACAAAAGAAATCTTGAAGAGAGAGAGACAAAAAAATATGAAAAGGACCCAACAAATAAAAAATAAAAAAATAATAGGATTCTAGAGCGGAAGATGATAGGGAAAACGTAATAGTTTGGTAATATTGGCAAATTTTGACAATAATAGTGTGTAAGTATATTGACAAAGTATATACAAACAAAAACGACACAAAATATTTGAAAGCATTTTAGACCTACCGGTATATAGAATGATTATACGAAAAGAGTTATGTCTGAGGCCTATCTACATCTATGTTACGTAAGAGGAACAATGAACTCGGCCAAAGGTAGAGTTCGTTGTCATGGTTATAAACTCGAAAAATAGAAGGGCGGATTATGAGGTAGGTGCTTGCATGACCTTCTGCTCGTAACCGACAAGTCACCGCATTAAAATTAAATTGCAAATAGTGTTCAACAACACGATGGTCGATGAAACTTCCTAATATTCGAAGATATATGACCCTGAGACCATATTGTTTGATTACTTTTTATTCAATCAATCAACGTCAAAGAATTGATTTATCATCGCTCTTCAATTTATTATTTCACCTTTGAATGTACTTTCATTCTTATGCATCACGAAAGAGCACTGAATTGGATTCTTCAATGTTTGTTTTGATTAATTTCCTCCCCTTTCCTTCTCCCTATTTAACACTGATACAATTTTCAATTTTTCTTAATCAAGTCAAAATATTATTTTCATATTTTCTTTATGCAAGACAGGGAGAGAGAGAGAGAGAGAATATGTTAAGTGAGAATTATCGAGTACAACCATGAATTGCATCCTTTTCAATATCATTCAATTCGCTGAAAATATTCAGAATATGAATATGATAAATCCACATAATACACCAACGCTCCAACCATAGCCCGAATGCCAATGCACCATATTTATCAAATATGAAAAGATTTTTAAATGAAATGTGAAGAAAAATCAAATGTACAATGCACTAACAGGCATCAGTTGAAATCATGAATTCTCTGTGACTGGCTTAGCACTAGTTTCTGAGGGACCGGTCACTGAAGAGGAGATAAAGGGAAGGAAAATTAAGGAAGAAGTAAAGAAAAGAAGGGGGATATCAGTTGCAATTTTCCCGCCAACAAGAGCTAAAAGGGACCAAAAAAAGAGGAAGAAGAAAAAAAGGGTGAAAAGAATTTCGATGCGGTGTTCGAGTAGAATTCTGTGAGATGATGATATACTTTCTGACTCGTAGCTTGAAGTGTCTATATCCAGATATCTGTTGATAGTATTATAGAATATAGAAGCCTGAAATGACCTTCTGCTCGTAACCGACAAGTCACCGCATTAAATTAAATTGCAAATAGTGTTCAACAACATGATGGTGGATGAAACTTTCTAATATTCGAAGATATATGACCCTGAGACCATATTGTTTCATTATTTTTTATTCAATCAGTCAACGTCAAAGAATTGATTTATCATCGCTCTTCAATTTATTATTTCACCTTTGTATGTACTTTCATTCGTATGCATCACGAAAGAACACTGAATTGGATTCTTCAATGTTTGTTTTGACTAATTTCCTCCCCTTTCCTTCTCCCTGTTTAATACTGATACAATTTTCAATTTTTCTTAATCAAGGCAAAATATTATTTTCATATTTTCGTCTTCTTTCTCTACTGATTTAATGAAAAGTCAAAGTTTCCGCGCTTCGCACGGACGGGGGGGGGGGGGGGGTAAAATGAATTCAGACGAGCATTATTTTTCGAGAACGGTACAACGAAACGTCCCTGCAACATCTTTGCCGATCTTCTTCTCAATATTTATTTATTGGTCGAGTTACATTATTTGTTGTTTTTTAGAACAATCATATTTCAGAGGATTCTTTTCACAACGAAAAACTTCTCCATGTTTCAGTCCTTGCGCGATCGTCTCCAGCTCCAGCAGATATTGGGCGTCAGCGTGCACATCGGTACTACCGGCGCAGTATAGCCACTGATGACGGCCGCATTAGCTGCACTGCGAGCTTCCGTTGTTTGTATCGGTAATACATAGAGATGGGAGAGAGAGCGCCATCTAAGTTCTATTTCATTGGTTTACGGTTTGAAAATATAAGAAAAGATAATCTTTATTTTATTATTCCACGGGGGCGACTTTTAATTTTGCAATCGCCCCTGTGGGCAACCTGACGGGGGCGATTATGGAGCTCACGGGGGCGAATTGCCCATCGCCCCGTGTATTTTGGGCGCTGATAATGAGTAATATGAAGGTACAACAAACAGGAGCAATTGATAATGTTAGTTTATATTTTGCACGATTGGAGAATTAAAGTATCTTGAATCGTAATCTTGAATCTTGTGCAAGAGTATTGATTTATCTTAATAAAATTTCGTTTGTGATGTGAGCAAAATTAACGCAAATTTCTAAACGTATGTCAATCAATGATTTGTTACCTTCCTTCCATTACCCCCACTTAACAAAACAAACAAAAAAACCGGATACACATTAGTATACTTGGGGGAGAGAGAAAGAAAAAATAATGAGTGCAGTTTTCACATTTTAATGAGATTTATTGAATGGAAGAGTAAAATCAACCCAAATTTCTAAACGATTATAAACGAATTTTTATAATTCATTGCTTTCCTTTCATTATTCATAACCCTCCCAATCTAAATAATGATAATAATAATATGATGATGATGATTATAATGATAATAATAAGCCGGAGAAACACTAGCGTACGGGGGGAGGGGGGGGGGGGCACAGGGCAGAATGCGGATAGGGAGGCAGACTGCACCCTAATGGGTGGCCAGTGAAGAAACAAAAGAGAGGGAGAAAAGAGAGAGGAAGAAAAGAGAGAGAAAGAGAAGAGAGGGAGGAAAAGAGATGAACAGGAGCAAGAAAAAATATTTTCTTTGGAGAGGGCGTTATACCAAGTTCAAAGAAAAAAAAATTTTAAAACCTTCCGTAAAATGTGTTTTGCCTCTATGAGTTAAATGACAATGGAATAGCATAGTCTCCAAACAGGAATTCATGAATCAACACATTGGCTTTATGGCCAGCACGCAATTGTTTATACCGGCGAGAGAGAAAAAAAACACTAGTCTTTATTTCCATGAATTGCTGGAGAATTAAATTTGAATGGGGCTCCCATAACCCGCGTGTCTAGATTGACACCTCCAAGTTACCTCCCCGAAAAAAAATCTACTTTTTAAATATTCATTCGGTTATATATACACAGATAAAACGTTGTTTAAAATGCTAACAGTTCATTACAATACAACAGCTTGTTGAATTTTTAAACAGGTCTTATTATTTGTAAACAACCCTTTTAGACGGTGTTTTGATTGTGCATAATGATCCATTCCAAACATACAGAGTACAGTGCTAATTAGACACGAACTCAAGCTCAGATAAAATAACTTAACATAAATATTTAAAAAAAAAGATAAAATAACTTAGTTTAGCCGCAGAGGGAGCTAAACAAGTATGACGAATCTTTCATTTGGGTTAAAAATTAATCGCGGTTTTTCTGGCTTGAAAAAGACGTCACGGTCTTCGGACACTCACAATGCGGCTTTTCGTGGGCGAATCGCGCATCCGGGTTAACTCAATACAGTTTTCATGCATGCGCTCTCAGGTTAAAAGGCTGCAGCTTCTCGCACATGAGAATTAATCCAAGGCGCCTAATGATTGTAACAATAGTACTAATAAAAATATGAGCAATAATAAAGTTCTCTATTTCTTCCTCTTTCCTAAATACATGAATATACAGTTTGTAATTCAATGCATCAGTTTCGTTGTTAAAATTCTTGAAGAGAATATTTGTGAACACTTATTAAAGCAACATGGCATAACTCCCTTCAAATTAAACTGATATGAAAATAATTAACACTGTTTTGAGGGTGTTGTAATTTGTGTCTTTCTTAAAGGGAAAAAAAGATGAGCAGCTGTGTGTGAAAAGATACAAAATGTGAAATGCGGTGCTCGTTAGTGTCCTTTCGAAACCCCGCGATAAACAGGTCCCTCCTTGTATCACATGCCTTTTCAATTTACGTCGGGCGGAGCTTCATAACCGTCTTCTTTAGGGAGTAGTAATAACCACGCCATTGTTGCCAGACCACACCCTTGTCGCGATTTAGGATTTGCTCATTCAGCAAGTATAGGCCGTTGAGGTTAGAACGAAGGCAATCCTTGAACCACCAGCCTCCTGTGAAATGACCGGCGCAGCTGCGTACCGGTGCACCATCATTATCGCGGTCCCGTGTACTGAACGGATAACCTGCATGATTCGACATACTGTCACCTGCATAGGAATGAGAAATGATTTATTGTATACACATGATATAAACTAGAAGTGTGGTACGGTATGTCACTGAAACAGCTCCCGTAGGATTTTTGTGCCAAAGATGATTTTTTTTTTTTTTTTTCATTTTTGGATTCATTGGGGTCTAAGCTCTCAGAATTCAAAGTTCAAATTTTCCCGAAGACACCAAATTTCCCTATTGCGCGTTATATAAGCCATTTTGGCGCCCAATATGGACCCCCCAGGAAATGAAGGAGGGGTCTGAAAATTTGAACCCCATCATTTTTGGTCAATTGGGACCCTTTTGAAGCCAAAACAGCAAAAACGTCAACTTTGGCACAAAAATCCTACGGGATTACATACCATATCGCACTATACAGGGTGAGTCAGAAAAAATGTCCCACTTTTTAAAAGTTGTATTGTTTGAAGTATGAATATTTAATTACGGGTTTCATGATATGCCTTGATAGAGTTATCCTCCCAGTACATTTAGGTACCATTTTCATTTGAATCCCTTCACACATGACTGAACATCAGACAAAAGTTTATTTATTAAGAATAAATAATTTATTTATTCTTTACAAGACTGACTGGTGAGGAATAAAACAGTCATTGAACAAAGACAGTCAGACAGACAGACACACACACATACACAAACACCCGCACACACACATTATCGTGTCATATCTGAGAGAGCAAATACCGTATTACCATAATAATGTATATGTTTTATTATCATATTCTGTATGCATTGTATTATCATTATCATATTATAATTATCAAAATGCTATGCTTTCAGTCGTCCCTTATTGTGGTAGATATTCATTTTGTATATCTTATTCTTAAGTATTATTTTTAATTAGTACAATTAATTATGCAAATATGAAAGTTTGACAATTTTCACTTTTTCACTTTTTTAAAAATATATTTCAATAGACAGAATCCTGTACACATGAAACAACTGTTAGAAGGTTGTAACACTATTCAGCGAGATACACTTAGCCTGAACCTGGTCATAACAAATGAAATAGGAACCTTGAAACATATTTTATGTCATAAACACACATATGAATTGCAAATGGTTGTGTTCATTGCAAATTCAGGCATATACCATTAGCATATGCAATGTATTTCTTTAGATCAGTAATCTATTAGTTTTCACTTCTAACTCTTACTTAAACTTTCATAAAAATTGATTTAGTTTGACCGTTTTTAATGTTTTTTCTTCGTATTAATCTTTTCTTTGCTTTTGTTTGTTTTGGTTTGTTTTTGTTTGTTTTTCATTATATTATTCTTTATATATTGTATTGTTTTATGCAAATGAGAATGCAATATGTTTTATTCACCATGCCAAATGGGAATACTAACAGTACATGTAAAAAGATGGGTATAAAACAAAAAAGTTGCATTTAAAAACTCTGTATGTTATATATGGAAGATTTTTTTAAAATCTAATTTCAGTGACACACGATTTCAAAAAACTTCCTTAACACCCGGTTCATTGACCTGGTGTGCGCAAATTTGGTATCACATGATGCGCGAGACTCTAAGAAAAAAGGTCATGAAGTGTCACCTAAAACAGTAAAGCATTACGAGGTTATTGCAAAAATAGAGGAGAGGAGTCTGTTTAGGGTTAACGTTTAACCGTTTTATCTTATTCCCGTATAGCTGTATGATCGTATAACCGTAGGGCCTTTTAGCGTATGACACGGAACCATATGACCGAATTACGGTATTACAGGAAATCACATTTTACTGTATAACCATGTTAGCCTATTTTTACTATACCGTATTACGTATTCCGACGCAGTTCTATATAACAAGGGAGTTTAAAGTTTAAATAGAGAGCCCATCCAAGAGGCCCCTTTGAAGAACTCCGCTTCACCGCGAGTCTTTTTCCCCCTATCGTAACCCCCCTCTGAGACAGCAGAGCTCGTAAATTTCACTCTGGAAATTGAGTGACATAGTACAGTGCAGTGGTAGCACTAAAGTCCTCCCTTTCCACCAACAGTCTAGCCTTTTGACAAGGCCTCATGACTCTGGCTATTTTCCACCCCAAACAGCGGCTGAGGTGAGTCTAGATACCCGGGGTGAACGCGCGACCGAGGGGTGCTAGCCACGAGGCCTTTTGCAATCTAGATTGTACTGCTCTGCATGAATTACTATATGCTGACGTCATGCGAGGATTCGTTCGCTGATTGGACGCTACCATTTCGGTAGCGAATTCCAGTCGGAAACAAAGGTTAACATAAGAAATCCAATCTAGATTACTAAAGTCTACTTGGCTGCGCTACTCGCTCTGTCGTTCAGTCGGGTTTTCGCGATTAGCCTCTTTTTAGTCGCTCGGCGTCTATCAGACATGTGGCCTTGTTTAAAGCGCTACGAGCTCTGTCGTTCAGTCGGGTTTTCGCGATTAGCCTCTTTTTAGTAGCTCGACGTCTATCAGACATGTGGCCTTTTTTAAAGGCTACCCACAGCCCAGCCCAAAGCCCAGCCCAATATTATAATTATTAATAAAACTTGAATTCGGCGTAAATATTCATAATTGAATGACACACGCCCTAAGACTGAAAAAAAAAAATACAGCGAGCACGGCGGCTTATGCATCGCCGGCCAGTACTCGGGGTGAAAAGTGGTGATGAATAGACAACTTCTAACCCTCATCCAACAAATGCGCAAATATATAACACAATTTCATTTAGTTCTTTTGGGAGATAAACCTTTGGACTACCTTCCTTGCTATGTACAAATTGCGGAAATTTACGGAAAATGTTAATAATTCGATGAGAAAATTATGATGATGAGAAACTTGCATTCACTCCAACCAGAGAGATAAACTCTAATCTCCCTGATATAACCGTACCTACTGGGCAATTCCGTACGTTGCAATGTGTCCAATACGGCATCCCCAGCTCCCTCTCCTATTTTTTTCATGTACAAAAAAGAAAAAAACAAACACCCTAATTGATTTGATTATTTCATTATGTTAGTGATACCACAAGGAATCATATTTGGTCTGTTGAATGAAATAAAATAATAAATATCGTGTAAAGGACACATTGCAGGGGATCGCCCTATAACATACCTGCGTCTCCGAAGTAATTGCCAAGGGCCAGGGTGTAATCTGCGACCTCGTCCACAATACTGAAATTGCTGTAGGTGGCATAGCGCGTATGTCCTTCGAAGTCTTCCAGGTCGATCCGGAGCTCGTAGGTCTTCTGACGGGAAAGACGGTGGATGTTGTCGTTACCGAGCCAGTGCTCGGAGGAAACGTTTCCAAAACCATCTTTGTACTCGGACCAGGAGAGAAAGAAGTTAACGGAACCATCCTGTCTACGCTGGAAGACCTACACAAATAAAGCGAGAGTGGGAGAGGGAGAGAGAAAGAAAGAGGGAGAGAGCGGGAGAGGGAAAGGGGATAGAGAGAGAGAGAGAGAGAGAGAGATGAAAGAGAGAGAGAGAGAAAGAGAGGGGGATAGAGAAAGAGAGAGGGAGTGTGTATGTGCGTTTATTAATAAATAAATCAGAACAAAATAACAGCCATCGTGCGTGGCAGCGGAAGAGGGAAAGGGGATAGAGAGAGAGAGAGAGAGATGAAATAGACAGAGAGAAAGAGATAGACAGACATACAAACATAGAAAGGTAGAGAGAGAGAGAGATGAAGAGAGAGAGAGAAAGAGAGGGGGATAGAGAAAGAGAGAGGGAGTGTGTATGTGCGTTTATTAATAAATAAATCAGAACAAAATAACAGCCATCGTGCGTGGCAGCGGAAATCAGATGAAAAATAATCATTTATAACACTTTGAAAATGCGATATGTGCCATCAAGTTTTATGAATTTACTTTTGAAAAGTGTAGCAACACGAAGGAGAGTGGTTGTTACCACATTTTACTCCATTTATAAGGATACGCTGTCTAGCTTGTGGGCTATGAATGTCTGGGCAAAGACTTCAAGAAAATCAACCAAATCAATATCAATGACCATGCTGCAATACCAATTCTGTTCTTCATGAGGGCCCTTCAATTTACACCAGCAACTACCAGGTGCCCATTTAAACCTGAATGGAAAGTGGAAAATGTACATGAATGAAATAAGATAGAGAGCATATTGCCCCTGGTGGATTTTTAACACTATCCATTTTTCGTAAAATCAACTAAAGGGTCATTTTAAAACCCTATTTCCCATAAAATATATTTTTGGATGACGTATTACTTCATTGTAATGTTCGCATATTTCAACAGGTGACGCGCAAGACAAGGTTTATTTTCGAAGATATTTTCTATCGTGTTTCTTGAAAATCTTTGCGATCATGTTCAAAGTGGATGGGGTTGATAATTTCTAGCTATCATCATTTCTCACCGTCCAGCGCCCACCGTCCGTTTCCATATCACAGTAAACGGAGAGAGGATCACCACCATCTCCATCGGGATAGATGAGATACACCCCACTGAGATGGGATAGTCCACCAGTCTGAATCTCAGCGCAGTCACGTGGGAGTCTAGGAACTGATAGGAAATACAAAGGTGTCATCATTGACAGAATTTAATTTCAGTGGATTGGCCTATCATAACAAAAGGTTCCGGATTCGATCCTTGCTTGGTACTTACATCCTTGGACAAGGTTTACTTCCGACCCAGGGAGATATATTTACATGTCTTGCATGGTAAATTGGCTATATATTCTACAAGGTGTAATAAATGGGCACCTGACTGGTTCTATAAAGGAAAAATCTTCTTGAATGTTGTGAGCTTCAAAATCGATAGCCTAGCGAATAGAAATAATAACTTAAGTAATATCAGAGTTCTTTGCACCTTACGTGGTGGATGAGAGCCCTAGACAAGTATCCAATATCAGTAGTGTTCGACTAAGTTCAGGGATGGTGTCATACTAAAACTAAGGACGGTAGTAAAGCTATAGAAAATTTAATATAGAAAATGTAAAGTTGACAAGTAACGGGGGGGGGGGTGATCATACCAAAATGCGCATCAGAGGGTTAAAAAATAAATTACATTACATTACGTCGCTTTCGATCCTGAATGATGAAATACATTATTTCACTGAGAAAAAAAACACGTTAGGACTAAAATGGCAATATATGTACAATATGTATTCAGATTTAAAAAAATTACTGCTATAAAGTGCCACAAAAAAGGGCTTCAGAGTGCGAGTCAGCAATTCCAAAAGACCCTTGTACTGTTCACATTTTATTCAATTTGTTGACAATTCCTGAATGTCAATCTCCCATGGTGCGTCAAACACCGCACACATCACTGATGAAGCCATGGTTGAGCAGAATGACGCTTCGTGTGCAAGAGGCATAAAGTGCTTATAACGCCGGACGTTGAGTGGGAGGTGTAATTTGCTTGACGTAGGACTGCGTTAAAGGCCTGTGTATGTCGTATAAGGTCTAAGGATGACACCGTATAGACAATAATTGCAAAAGGATAATTGCATTAAAAATAGCACAGTCCTACGCCAGTAAAATGAACGAGAATAATATGAAATGCTCACCGTCCGTGGCGGTGACTTGCGTCATTTCGGCCGGTATGATCGTAGACATGTCCGTGAAGTCAGTCATAGGTAATGGTGCTTCTGTCGAGACACAAGATTCATAGAAATCATTGAATGTTAATATTGATGATCATAATGATAATAATAACACAAAAATCATCATCATAATTCGAAGAAGAATAAGATCAGGAACAAGAACAACGAGAAGAATGATAACAACCGAATTAGGGCTTTTTGGTGTGGGGTGTTAAGGGGATTAGCGGTACCAATCGTATTAGATTCTAAAATGCACCAAGTGCGATTTCTCCATGTGTAAATATATATGTAGATATTCTGGTTCATTTGAAAACCATGTTGTATTTCCGAAATGGTCTACAGGCCTAACTAATAAAGAGGTTGCATGAGATTCACCGTTTTAATACAAACATTGCTCCGCCCCTTTGCATTTCAGCTGTCAGAACTGTGGAAAGATTTATCAAAGAACAACTCTTACAAAGCCAATATCGAACCTTTTCTAATGCTGGTACATTTTTATGGCGGTATACCCCTTTCCCCCAAATCATTCAAGTACTAGTTCCCACGATCTATACCCCCCCCCCCCCCCGAATTCAAACGATTGAGCCCCATTTTGTAATGTTTTGCTTTCCTTATCGCTTTACAAATATTTCAAATCGACCCTCATGATGTTTTTCTCATAATGTCGAATCCCCTTGCCGATAATAAACAAATACAAATATATGTTTGTATTTTGATCCGTCGGCAAGGATACCGGAGATAAAACCATTTTACTCCCTCTCTCTCTCTCTCTCTCCCTTTGACTCTTTTCCATGTGTGACTGAAGACCACTTAACAACAAAAAGGCTTTTAAAAATAATCAATTATTCTTTTGCAAATACGTTTTTGCAGAATGATCTTTTATTAACGAGTAGCATCGTGACATTCTCACAAACTACGCTTGTTTTGATTTGGGTTAAGCGATTATCATGAAGGAGGAAACAAAAACTGGTTTGGGGTATATTTGTAATACTGATGCAAACATTTGGGGCGTGGAATCATCGTAAAGATAAAATAGTGATAATGATAAAAGTAATAATGGTAATAACAATAATAATAGTAGTAGTTATACAAATAGTAATATTAATGACAGTAATAACAGTTATACAACACGCATCTTCCGTATCGGAGCTCTTTCTTTTCTCCTCAATTTACCTTCTTCTACTTTCTGCAAATTCAAGCCTTCTGAAACATATACCACCGCTACTATTAGGTCTACTGCTATGATATTCTTCTAAACTCACATGACATTAAAAGAATTGGAAAGGTCACACAATAATCTTATTGTGTTTTTGTTACCTATATCTGAACCCCAAAACTTTGTTATATTGTTCTCACGCTCATTGCAATGTTTCCCTTGAAATCCAGGTGAACAGTGGCATAGATAGCTTCCCATAGTCTCCTCGCACCAGCCGTTTGCACAGAGCTTCTTGTCACAATCTATAAAAAAAGGGTATAAATTTAGTTTGTGTGTGTGTGTGTGTGTGTGTGTTAGCAGACATCCACTGAGTGAGTAGTGTGTGTGGGTGGGGGGTGGGTGGGTTGGTGAGTATGGGTGTGGGTGGGTGAGTATGTGTATGGGTGGGTGGGTGGGGTGTTTGTGTGGGGGAGGGGGCAGGGAGGGGGCAGGGAGGAGCAGGCATTGTTCCAGTAAAATTACCTCCAGATTTGTTTATTTTTTTTAATTTTTTTTAAGTGAATAACATTTACAATTGACATATATATTATGTTTAGGTACTTGTACGTTTACTTTGTTGCTAAGTTATTTATACTGCAAATACTGCTAATATAATCTATCAATCATTCATTCATTCATTTAATTTTCGCGTCCATGAGGTGCAGGCCTAGACATTATAGTTCGCATCACGACAATTACCCCTGTACAATCATCTCCCGGAAAATTAACCCCTGGAACAATGGACTTAGAATATTGCAGACCTTTGGAGGGACTTGGAAATCGTGGTATTTTTTGTTGTTGTTTAGAATGGCATATTTTGGTATTTAATTGTTGAAGAAAAAAAAAATCATCGAAAGGTCATAATTTGTTTGTCTCGCAATGTATGGTCGACAAGGGATCTGAAAGATCACGACGTTTCGTGTGCCGTTGCTACACTTTGTCAGGTGATAAAATATATTGTAAGAAAGCGTCTTTTATACTCTATGGAAGGACTGGGTAGGCGATAAATCTAGGCGATAAAATCTAGGCGATTTTCCCTCTAATTTTACGTCTGGTTCAAGATGAGTTAGGTGCATGAACTGCCTTCTATAGTATAATACTGAAAGTCCAAGTCTTCTGTAGAACCTGAAATAAAGTATTTTTTTCTTCTTCAACAATGAACTGTTAAAAATGTCAATTTAGTGGATATGTGACCATTATTTTACATTGTACACAGAGAGAAGTATATGAGACTACACAAACATGTGGCAATAAAATCGGGACTCATTTTTAAGCTTTTACTTGTCATATTCAGAATATGAAGGCATTTGAAGAGCCAAGCTTATTAGGGAACATTTTTTTCTATGATTTTCTTCCACACTTTGATAATAACAATGATAACGCTCACAAATTATTTTTCACCTCTCCCCAGAACTCAACCTTCTCTTTAAGTTGATCTTAGTCTTTGCGAACCCCCCCCCCCCCCTTACCTTATGCCTTTCCATGTGCAATCTTACAATAGCTAACGAAATAATTCCACATTCGGCTAGCTACTAGTATATACAGCGTAGCTGAATATTTTTTCACTTCATCGACAAATTGTCAGGAGGGACAAAATAATATTACCCCCCCCCCCCTTGCTCCTACTTCACAAACGCCAGTACATACTACTTTGTTTTGGCAAAAGCTACGACAGATATAAAGGCTATTATACTAATGTTGTTATAAGGTACATGTATTTTGTATCATAAATGCATTTTGTCACGTAATGAGAGAACATCACCAATCTGACAGAACCCTAAACGTGAGGTTTGCAAGGTAACGGGTTAATTAATTGTGGATATGGTGTTAGATGGCTACGGTAATGAAGTTATGTCTACGTGAACCAGCGCTTCTCAAAGTTTTCATTAACTCAAGGCCCACCAAGTGCTCTGTAGTATTGACAAAAATCAGATAATTTGTATTCCCTCAAGAAAATGTTCAATCAACTTTTTATGTTTAATAGGAATTTGCACAAATTTTCACTGACCGGTTCCTCTCAGTTTTGTGTTCCCATTAAAACCAACTTAATACCAGGATGGATTTCCCTCTTAAAATTCGATGGCTAAATACATGTAGATGGAGAAAGGTGTATGTTTGTTTTCAATGTGAGGTTTACTGTATTGAGCGCCGGGGCTTAGAGGAGGAGCCCACCCCCCCCCCCCCCCCATTGTCCATTGTACATGCTGTTCCCCCCTCCCCCCCCAAGCTTCGTAATTCCGGAAATGCATTGGTTCATAGTATCGCATGTTCACCAATCCTAAAATCAAAGACAACGGCTTGGAAAACTATATCATTCTCGGAATCATGAAACTTCAGTATCAAGGATCCTATTCAATTTTCGGAATTATGAAACCTTACAGCATTTTCGAAATTATGGACCGTTGGAAGAACGAACCATAGGAGTGGACAGCCTAAATGTTTGGGAGTTGTACACCCTATTTTATTTTATAATAAACCACCGGGCCAGGAATTTGAAATTTGTATTTCGGAATTTTGAATATTCATAAAATTTAACTGCGAAAAATGGGTGCCCTAATAATTAACGCCTACTTTTGTGTTACAAAAAAGACGATGGGGGTCTAAATGATTACCAGGAAATCTGCATGTTCTGTATCCGGGAGGTATTCCTAACTTTCCTTTCCGTCTAGGGCAACCCGCCGTCGGAACAGGGATTAGCTTCGGAATCATCTGTACCATACTGCCGTTGGTGTGTTGCTTCGGCAGACACTCGTTGAACATTGGTAAGGTGTAGTTGAGTCCAAACAAATTCTTGTGGCAGGTTTGTATCCTTTCCATTGCATCTATTGGCGCGGGTAAGGCTGTGTGTCAGAATGATGATGGTGATAATGATGTTCACGAGAATAACGATATGATGATAGTGTTAATGGTGATAATGATGATAACAATAATAAAAAGAATGATACTGATAATAATAAAATGATAATAATAATAATATTAATAATAATAATAATAATAATATAATAATAATAATAATAATAACAATAATAATAATAATAATAACAATAATAATAATGATAATAATGATAACAATAACAATACGGAGAAGAAGAAGAAAGATAACAAAAGTGTGGATTTTTGCATTGGGGTCTTGAGGTTGGGGGAGGGGGCACTGACATTTAATGGGAGCTAGGAGCACCAATCGTATTATGTTTATGAAATGTGAATAAACAAGGCTACCTTGTGTGGATGAAAGTGGTCATATCACCTTCTTTTCACTTTTTCCCCTCTCCCTCCCTTTTCCGTTCCGCCTTTTGTGGGTGCAGGGGATGCGGCACATGTGCCCTTTTGATAGTTAAGCCACTGCACGCTACAATGATCTTTTTCATCTTATTTATCAACGCCACCAGATAAAATTCTTGCTTATATAAATAAAAACAAACATCTTTAATGTTGGTTTAAAGCCTGTACAAAACACACATATAGAAATAAAGTTTACATTGTATTTGAGGTGATAAATCTGAGACGAACAAACGAAAAGTAGGCAAAAAGATTTCTGAATAGAAAGCAAAATTAAATTCCGTTTAAGTATAATAATACAAAATATGAATTATGAGTATATTTAAAAATCAGGAAAAACAAAGATAAGAATAATTGAAGTAGGGTAGCAGTAGGGTTTGGAATTTTCAAATTGAGGAGTAGGGTACATACCAACAGAAAGGAAGATTACCGTGCCATATATGCACTTCCAATGAAGTTTTAGTTCACGGGTCTGTAATAAGAAAAAAAAATTATAACAAATTATCATGATTTTA